AAAGAAGACCACTCTAGAAATAACCACAATGGGGGTTCATTTTCATGAGATCCTCAATTGGAGACGATGGCATTTTCAGAGAAAGAATACGTATGGCAAGAAATGCAAAGATGTATAGCTCATAGACAGGGAATAGGGCTGGATGTGGTGAAGTGATGAGCATACAAGAAAGTAAGCTCTATGAGGGCAAGATTTTTTATTTTTGTATCATGCTCTATATGCTGTACCAGAAACATAGTAGGTCTTCTATGAATATTTATAAACAAAATGCCCAAGATGAAAGGGGCAGCCACTGTTTAGCTTAGCTGTGTTGTTGGATGGAAATATGGGTCTAAGATTCCCAAAGACCCTAGCATTTCAAGTGGAAACAAATCTAAAATCTTTTTTTAAAGTGAAATCTGAATCCTATACGTTGGTAATATATTCAACAGTCGGGGTCAAAGAAAACGTCTACCGAAGGGCTAACAGTTTGCCACTTCTGTAAATTAAATAGGTAAATATAAGGGGTCCCTGGGTGGTTCAGTTGGTTAAGCTTCTGACTTCGGCTCAAGTCATGATCTCACGGTTCGTGGGTTCGAGCCCCGCGTCGGGCTCTGTGCTGACAGCTCAGAGCCTGGAGCCTGCTTCTGATTCTGTGTCTCCTCTCTCTGACCCTCCCCTGCTCATGCTCTCTCTCTCTCTCTCAGAAAAAAAAAATAGGTAAATGTAAGATTATTAATACTATTGAGTTGGGATGCTTGATAAAGGTTTATGTATGCCTTCCAGCTGAGCATTGTTTTTTATAGTTGTATAAGAAACCCTTCTCACCCTGATTGGAAACTCCTCTCTTGTCCTGTCGTAAAGGTACATGTAGACATTGCTTCTGAGGTCTTAATGGAATTTCATTGTGTTCCTGCTGTTCTTTCGGACTTACAGTGCAGACTTTTCCCTCAGTGAGCCTCATCCTAGGAATTAAATAGTGGGTTCAGGAGCAAAATTGTCATATTAAAAGAAAAATAACTTTTAAGCAATGTGGAGCTTCAAATTTGAAAACTGGAAATGACCTTTTTATCAACTGATCCAGTCTCCTTCCTTCAAGAAGACATGGAAATAAACTAAAATAATAGCCTAGGGGCATCAGGTAAGACAATAAAACACTAATCCATTTATATTTGTTATGTTATCCTTTGATTCTTAACGTTTTTCCAATGAAGATGAAATGGCTTATATAAAGGACAAATTAAAATACAAACAGGGGGTACCTGGCTGGCTGAGTTGGTAGAGGATGTGATGCTGGACTTGGGAGTTGTGAGTTTGAGCCCCATGTTGTGCATAGAGAAAAAATACTTAAGAAAAAATACAGACAAAGGGAAAGACAAGGTTATGAAGGAAATTAAGAGTGAGGCGATGAGGAACTTACCCTTGGGAAACTTATCCTTGGCACTCGGATTAGAGTTTGAATAGGTCTCTGTTTCTTACTGGTTTGATAACATCAGACAAGTCATGTAACCTTTCAATTTCCTCATCCAAAAAATAAGAAATTTTGAGGTATTAAATGAGGCAATACATTTAAGACACTAACTCAGTGGCAAAAGATAGTAAATAATAAATATTAGCTAAAAGTATACATACCAATATATATGTATGGGTTAATATAGTTGCTATGGTTAGGAGTATCAGGTTCAGTTCTGAGATTCTTAAAATCACTTTTGTTTTTTTCATCATGATAAGTGTACTCTTTAATTCCCATCCCCTATTTCACCCATCCCCCTATCCACCCTTCCTCTGGTAATCGTCAGTTTGTTATGAGTGTGTTTCTTGGTTTGTCTCTCATTTCTTTTCCTTTGCTTGTTTTATTTCTTAAATTCCACATATGAGTGAGATCACATGATATTTGTCTTTCTCTGACTTATTTTGCTTAGCAGTGTACTCTCTAGCTCTATCCGTGTTGTTGCAAATGGCAAGATTTCATTCTTTTTTATGGCTGGGTAATATTCCATTATATAAGTGCCACATCTTTATCCCTTTATCTATCAGTGGACATTTGGGCTACTTCCATATCTTGGCTGTTGTCAATAATGCCGCAATAAATATAGGGGTGTGTGTATCCCTTTGAATTAGTGTTTTTGTATTTTTTGGGTAAATACCTAGTAATGTGATTACTGGATCTTAGGGTAGTTCTATTTTAAATTTTTTGAGGAACCCAGTTCTGAGATTTTTGACACTCAAGGTAGAAAAACTACATTCCATGGAAAATAAATTCCTTCCACATGGTTCTGAAGGTACTGATACTGGAGTTGTTTATGTCCTTGCCTTTATGTCCTTATGTCCTTGACTCCCAATACTAAATTTGAACTTGGACAAGTTATTTAATCTATCGCTTATAGACGTGTGACTTCCTGTATGTTTTAGTTGCTTTTGATTTTACAAAAGTGGCTGATGATGTCGTGGAAATTACCTTTTTCACTTAACATTATCCTACTGACTTGTTTATAGGTACTTCATTCATGTTCATTGCTGTGTAATATTGAAGGATATTTAGGTTCTTGGAGGTTTTGCCATTGTAAATGGCAGTGCCATAAAAACTCCTGTACCAGCCTCCTGGTATTCAAGTGCACTCCCCTCCAGTAACCTGCCCTGTAAACTCCAGCTGTCTCAGCAGCCCAGCTCTATTCTTTGCCTCTTCAGCTCAGAAATAGCACCACTGTTTGGGCTCCCCTTTCCTGTACTATGATCATGAAAGTTCTCCAAGGCAGACAGACATGGTAAACCTAGTATTCCCCTTGCACGTTTCCTTTCTCTTGAGTATCACAGTCTGCTTTGCCTATTAACCAATTCCTCAAAACATGTCCTGGCCAGAAATGGAAGTCTATTCAGCTCTAGTTTCTACTCAAAGCTTTAGTTTTGTTTTCTACGTTTAAGCATTAATACAGTTGGGGGTTTATTTGCCAATATGAAAAGTCCAAAAGAAATGTCATTTATTAAAAATATTTTTTATGTTTATTTTTGAGAGAGACAGAGTGCAAGTGGGGGGAGGGGCAGAGAGAGAGGGAGACACAGAATCCAAAGCAGGCTCCAGGCTCTGAGCTGTCAGCACAGAGCCCGACACGGTGTTCACGCCCATGAACCGTGAGATCATGACCTGAGCCTAAGTTGGACACTCAATCGACTGAGCCACCCAGGCACCCTGAGAAATTGCATTTAAATATAAAGACTACATTATCCTAAACATTCTTCAAGATTCACTTAGTTCTATCTAAGGGTTAAATTAGACCACTGAAAACTACATTTTACATGCGGATGTGAGGTAGACATCATTTTTCCAATTATGGATAAACCATTTTACTCCCAATTTAAGAAACAGCTTAATTTATGAGCTTCATTTCTTCATTTGTAAAGTGTGTGTAAATGTTAGGTCCTACATGAAACACAGGCACACAAGAGTAGCCTTTTTGTAGCATTTCAGTATAGCTGCCTTCTGATTGAAAACAAATTTTAAGACTTTGAAACCAGATAATAATAGCTAATGTTTATATTACGATGACTATATTCCAGGAACTGTCTGAAGCACTTTATGTATGTTCATACAATCCTAATAAAATTTCATGAAATAGGCACTATTATTTTCCCCACTTGCAAATGGGGAAATTGAGGCACAGATAATTTTCCAAGGTCATATGAGTAATTTGTAGTCGAACAGAGATTCAAAACAGACTGGTTAGCATACTACATTCATTCAAATGAGCAGATCGTAACATCGTTCTATTATGAAAATAAGGGACCCTCCCCATCCCACCTCTGCTCAGATGTGAGGTCAAATATGGGCATTTCAAAATCTTAAAAATGAGAATTGCAAAGTAGTTATTGGATTTAGTTTAGAGTCAGTCCTTCCTTTAACCTCAATTCCAGGAATAGTGACCCACAAAAATAATTCTCTGACTTTTGTCCATTTTCCTGCAACCAACTGATTCTGATAAACTATATGCATTTTCCTAGTGCTCGGTACTTTTTAAATCTGCTTTCACATGGATTAATTTTCACATACCCAAATGACTGGCCTACTAGGTATCTGGCTCAGGTCAAATACTTATGTTTTTCATTGAATTATAAGTGGATTTTTTTTTCAATTACATTCTGTCCAGAAATGAAATATATTCCAAGATCCCTGTGAGACTGTTTCTGAAGAAGTAAGTGAGCTCTTGATAATGCCAGTCTGGTCCTATGTGACTTTTTCAAATTTCTTTGGTATAGCAGCTGAGAATTAGAGGATGTGACAATAGCCAAGCCAATTGAGAGAAAGTTTCCCAAATGAATTCTGCGGCTTACTGGAGTGTTAGCAGCCACATCCTCTTTTGAGATGTCACCTGTTTTGTCACAAAGTCCTATGGCCTATTTTTTGGTAGGCTTCACTTCTGTCTACTCACTTGATCTGTCAGATTGCAGAGTTTTGACTTAAAGAAATTTTTGCTTTCAGTAGGCAATCGGATAAAAGAAAACACTGCCAGGAAAGATAGATGTTGCTGGGTTGTTTTTTATAATTGGGTAAGTGATTTTTTTTTTAATTTTAAAAATATTTTTTATTTATTTTTGAGAGAGAGAGACAGAGCATGAGCAGAAGAGCACAAGCAGGAGACGAGCAGAGAGAGAGAGGGAGACACAGAATCCGAAGTAGGCTCCAGGCTCTGAGCTGTCAGCACAGAGCCCAAAGTGGGGCTCGGACCCATGAACTGCAAGATCATGACCTGAGCCAAAGTCGGGTTAAGTGACCTTAAAAAAAAAATTGCTATACATATGCAACCAGAGGCAAAAATAAACCTTTGTTTCCTCCCTACAGATGGGTAAGCTCCGTGTATTCTAAGCACATTCTAAGCAGAATTATAACCAACATCCAGCACATACTTAACATATAACTATGGTATATATTTTAGCTATCATGTTAGTATATCTTGTAAACAGTAAAATAATTATTTCAAACATGCAGTGTTTGGATTTAGAAATGATTACAAGTACTAAAAAACCCATCGATTAAAATACAGTATTTTATTTTTTTCTCACCTAAAAAACAAGCAACCCAGAATTAAGATATACATAAACTTCTCAAATTTATCCCTAATAAAATTTGAATATTTATACAATTTCTACAGAAACATACAGTGTATCAAAATCTGCATAAATCAAATTTATAAAATGTGTAGAAATGCATAGTGATATTATCAACTTACAAAGCAAGGATGTGGGAATTATTTCCAAAGCAGCCTACAGTAGAAAATAGTCCTATGGCAGCAGCTTCTGATGTTTTTCATGTTTGGTACGGTTTCTGATTTCAATATATAGAATCATTTTCATAGAGTATTAATGAATTGCACAAAATACCCATTTAAAATTTACATGCAAAGTTTATGTGCCACCTTTCTTAGGCCTATGCATAGTTAACAAGGTTATAATCTATTCAACAAGGAAAACGGAGCCTATCTGCAGAGACACAAGTAATTGAAGTACCAATTCTCTTCGTTTCCTTTTCATAGTTGATTTATTTTGCAATGATATCAGCATATATAAATGTATTCCTTTTTAAACATCCCTAGAGGTGAATGGAAGTTAAAATGGTTGATCACAGATCAGTAGCAAAATACAAATTGACAGTTCAAAATTATAAGTAAAACTCTGTTCAGGATGTTTAACTCTGACTCCAAATTTAAGAGCTAAGCTTGGAAGAAAAATTTGTAGGCTTTTCTTCTAAACAAGTGTAGATTTTTTTCTTTCCTTTTTAAAGCTGTAATTAAAAGTAGTTCCCTCTGGCAGTAGTTTGTGAAATTCCTTTCATTGAAATGATATCATGATTACAGGATCAAAACTGCTTAATTTACTTGCCATTCCCCACTTTATCCATTTTTTTTTTTTAACTCAATGTAGCATTTTAATCTTTTGGGTAACAAAAGACTATTTAGAAATTAGAATTGAATTGACCACTTGCACTTGGTTTTCCTACAGTAAGTCCTATCTTAATAAATGTTTAAATCCAAACAAGTCTTCTTTTTCACTGGAAAAATACTAATAGAAATATGCTTCCTAAAAAAAAAATTAAGAAACACTAAAGAACCAAAATATAACCTAACAGAAGTTCATATTTGTTAATGAACTGTATTTTTAAATAGATTTTTTTTTAATTTAAAAGATGTGTAGGGAATTTCATTTGGATGAAGATATACATGAAACATCCACTCACAGCTTCACAGGTTGCACAGCTTAGGTTAATAATGCACAGGAGTTTTAGTAAGGCTTAATCTAACAAGGGCTCGGAAATTCCTACCTTGGTCAGAATGAACCTTTGATGTGTTTACAGTGGTGTTTTGTTATTTTTGTTACCCCCTCAGTAATTCAAGGTTTTGAAACTGAGAATTATTTATAGTTTTCTATAGTGACAGGTTCTAGGGAAAAGTAAATCCCAGATGTCAGTGGACAATTCTCTAGTTGGTAGACCCTCTTGGCTATCTTGGGAGTCAGTATCAACAGAGAGCATTGGGAATGCCAGCAGGGAAGGGAGTTAATGCCATACACAATCTTCAACCTATGAAATAGCCTTGGGACGTTCCAGACTGTCTTTTCTTTCTCAAGCTATACAACATTCAATTTCAGAGCAAATGGTAGCATGTAAATTCATTTCTGAGTAATAAAAGGACTCCTCCTACAGATGACAATTCCATCAATACCAACCTATAAATTTCATCAAAAGCTCTTGAAATATATACTGAGAAATGAAAGAGGCACTAAATGTGTTGAAATTCACCTTTCAAGAAAGCAGCATGACTGTGAAGGAAGGCCACCGTGGCTAAGAACCTGTGGCAGTGCTTCATAAAGATGTAAAATTAAATAAAGACACAACAGGTTGATAATCACCAAGTTATATACGAAAGTCTGGTTACTCCAACCTTTTTTCAAGTGTGTTAAAGAAAAAAAAAATCAAACTGCCTTTCAGACCCCTGAGTGTAATCCCAAAGAAGACAACAATGCTTTTCACTCTGTTCTAATTAAACCAGAGCTAAATGCACAAATTACCAATATCATCTTAAAACAAAACAAAAAAAGATGTAAACATCTACGAAGTTTAAGGTAAAAGCAGTTTTGTAAACAGTAACTGCAGATGATAATGTTATTGTAAAATCACAGTTTATCAACGTCCTTCAAACTGATCAGGAGGTTCTGGGTTTGGAGCTGTACAGAGTTTAATAATAGTTGCAGCAGGTTTCAGGCGGTTTTCAGTCCTGTATCAATTTACGTGTCAGTAGGTAGGTTATTGGTTTCTTTTATTCTTTCTAAACACTATGGATGTTATTCATTTCCCACTTTTGAGTCATTTTACTGGAGTCGCAATTGGAGATGAACACTTGATGTAGGACGTCTGAGCGATCTAAGCACTTTCCTGAAGGAATGTGAGTGAATCTGTGTAGGTTCTGGAAAACAAAGGAAAAAGGAGTTTTAAATGTGCATTTTTTTTTTTTTTTTTTATATCACTGACATGATAAGAAGTCATTACCTGGCTTTCACAAGAAGATGGTTTGAGCAAATTGGACAGACCTAAGCCAAACATACCTCAGACTTTGGATTTTTTGTCTTCTAAGTCCTTTTACTGTTAAGTTCATAATGTACCGCTGGTACCATAAATTCAATGGTATACAAACTTACTTCTTCAGTTCCCATCCTGGCTAATGACAAAACCATCCTTCATGTCCTCAGGACAGAGGCTACACACGTCCCTTCATTCAAATTGTAGCACCGATTGAGGACTAGTATTTGCAAAGTCTCTCTGATCTATCCTTTCCCACACCTACTGCATATGCCTTAGCTTAGCCCTCCTGTATTGTACATTTCTTCATTATAACTCAGGGCTTCTCATAGTCCTTAGACTATCTAAGATTGGGTCTGTAAGGTCAAAAATATTTTTATAACAAATACCCTATTTGCTTTTTTCACTGCACTGACATACTGATGCACAAAAGAAACGGCAGGTAAAAGTGCTGGGGCCTTAGCTTAAATCAAGCAGTGACACGGTGTTCTAGTAGTCTCCTTATTCATGGCCATACATCCACAGCTAAAAAAGAAAATGCTGGTGTTACTTAAGGATGTCTAATGATGAAACAGTAAAATGACATAGTTTTACTAAATCTGGACCCTTGAGTATACTTTCAAAAATATTCTGAAATGGACAATAGGCATAAAGCACTTCCCTATAGTGAAGTACAAGGAAAAGGAAAATACGTGTATACTTGTTTGACCTGAGCATCAAATCAGCTGCTCTTTTCATGTCATGTCATTTTGACCTGAAAGGATAATTCTAGACAAACTACGAGTATTCAAACTTGGGACTGGTAGATATTTTCTGGAAAATGAGGTAGGTCTGTCACTTAAAAAACAATGACACACCTGACAGTATTTGTTGCTAATGACAGAATTTGAGGTTTTAAGCAAAAACTAGAGTTGTGGAAAACTTGTACCCACCACTATGAACTTGACAGCTTTACCATAAAATAAATGGTTATATCTGTGATTTTTTTGATGTTGTCTGATAAAATGTGTCAACATATGGAAGACCCACGTAGCCTGGCGAACCAATATTTTCCAAAGAAGCAATGCATGATATTACAAAAACAGACATGGGTAAAATGGATTTTAATGTAATACAGGGCAAAACGTTCACTGATGGTTTCAGAGTCTACACTGCAAATAATTTTTAAGAAACTACCACTTATCTAGTTGTGGGGTAGCATCAAAGAACAGCTACAATGATATGAAAAGCCTATTAAATTAACCCTCTCTTCTCCAGTCGCATGTTTGAAGCTGATTTTCCTCATATACACTTCAACAAAAACAACATTATCACATCAAACTGAATGCAGAAACAATATGAAAATCCAGCTGTCTTCTATTAAGCCACATATTTAAAGGGACTTGAAGAACTATAAAACAATGCCATTCTTCTCACTTTTTTTGAAAAACTAATTTGTCGTTGAAAACGTTACTTATATTAATATGTAGTAGGGTTATTATTACTTTTACGTGAGTGAATACATACATACAAATACAACACAAATACATACAAATTTCTCAGGTTTAATTTGCAATTTAGAAAATACTGTTAGTTTTAACCTAGATAAATAAAATCAATTGTGTGTGTGTGAGGGGGTCCTCAATAATTTTCAAGAGTAGAGAGAATCTAGAGACTGGAAAGTTTGAGAACTGCTGACTGAACTGATCTGCTTATCAGTCCATACTTCACACAATTATTTCTAGAATTATTTTCCTGAAAGTATCCGTTTCCTATCCCTGTTTCCTCAAATAAAGTCCTTCACTTTTCAAAAGGCACAAAGTGAAGTTCAGTGTTCTTTCACATGCATTACAATGTAGGGATACCAAACTGAACATGATCCCCAGAGTTTTCTATACATTTTTATTCCATGCCTTTGTTCACCCAGTTTTCTTATTTATCCTCCATGAAAAGCCTTTTTATATCTCAAAACCTGGAACAATAATACTTCCTATATGAAACTCACCAGAAATAATTCCTCCTATTAATCTCTCCTTTGTTAACCTATTGCATTTTACTTATTTTCATTTCTGCATTTTTTCCTTTTCTGCCATTATAGTATGATGTGCTTTTGCTACGTTTTGAAGTCACCACATCACCAGGCCCCAGGGATTATTTAGTAATGTCTGATGCACAAATGTATATTCAGTGCTGTGGCCTTTAAAATATCTAAAATATCTGCATTCCACTTGTTATCCATTAAACTACTTCTGGATGGTAGTTTCTGGTCTGCTATAGCCTTCTTTTACTTTTTACTAACACCATTTTACGAATACCCTATCATTTATTGCTATTATTTCTCTTTGTGGAAATAAATGCTCTGTTACGGAAGTAAAATGCCCTGTTCTTCAGGATTTATGTTAATGGTCTCCTTCCTGACTTGTTATAAGAAAAAAAACCCCAGCAACTGACACATTCTTACCACTTCATGGTAATTATCTGTGAATGATGATAACTGGGAATATTAAGTGGGGTCATAATACTGTCACTACGTAGCAAATAACGCCTCGCATGACAGACAAGGTATGATAGCAACTACTAAATGAGTACATAAAGTTCAGAGGTGCCAAGTTCTTTCAGTTTGGGGCAGCTTTCCCAACTCTGTGTTTCACAATACACTGATTTAGTCAAGTCTAGACACTGAAAATTATACATAAATCCATGCATATGTTGGAATCTTCAACTTGGCAAGGAGCTTTGACTATTCACAGCTGAAATAGAAAAACTGCCCCTGCAGCGTCAGCGAATAACTAAACATGACCTTTAAAGCAAGCAACAGGCAATATTTATCCCGTTGTGTTTAGCAAACACTGATAAGGAGGTTGGAAGGCACAGATTTCCAAGTGTTATTTGTTTGTCTCTATCTCCACCTGCTGGACAACATGAAATATAAATGTAATATTTAAAAAATTATACACATATAATTTTAGTAATATATATAACTTTTTAAATAATTTTACTTTAATGAATGACTCCTTGAAATTTAAAAAATAAGATTTTGATATTAGAACAATGGTGATCATCGCCCCACAGAACAGAATTTTCCCGTGTTACTGAAATTAGCAGTGGGTCTTTGTGGACATTCTGTGACCTCATTACAGGCCAACATTATACCAGGAGACAAGGCGTCACTCAATGCTCAGGAAAACGAATGACTAACTAGAGGGAAATGTAAGTCAATTTGAATGCAGGTTTTAAGGCTTATACGTCTAAATTCCATATGGTAGATGTTATTAAAATGAAATCACAAATATTATTATTTCAAGAGTTGAAATGCGCCATACCTTGAAGTACTGCCATTCTTTAAATTCATTTAGGTTACAGTGTGTAATCATAATTTTTGACCCATCAGGCCCCTTTGTCAAACACTGGTCATATTGCATGAGTTGATTAGCTTCGTTGATTCGAAAAAGCTATTAAAAAAAAGAAAGAAAGTAACAGAGCCACCTTCTCTTCTGACATACATTATTTTATTTTAAAGATTACACTTAAAAAAAATTTTTTTTATGTCTTTATTTTTTATTTTTGAGAGACAGAGACAGAGAACGAGCAGGGGAGGGGCAAAGAGAGAAGGAGACACAGAATCTGAAGCAGGCTCCAGGCTCTGAGCTGTCAGCACAGAGCCTGACACAGGGCTCAAACCCATGGACTGTGAGATCATGACTTGAGCTGAAGTCGGACACTTAACCGACTGGGCCACCTAGGCGTCCCTAAATATCATACTTTTAAGTAATCTCTACAACCAGTGTGGGGCTCAAACTCACAACCCCGAGATCAAGAGTCTCACACTGCACTGAGTAAGCCAGCCAGGTGCCCTGATATACATTATTTAAAATTTAAAAAAAAGAAAGAAACTTAAAGTTAAATTCAGTGACTATCTTACTTTCCTATAATTTTTATGTATGTTCAGAATTATAAGTCCAGAGATCAGAACTATATTCATTTTGATATTAGTGAAGACTCCTATTAACACCTAAAGGATTATGTTCTTTAGCTTCTTATAGAATGGGTCATTAACACATATTTATTATGTACCAACAATGTGAGCAGATAAAAAGTAGAAACAGAGCTGATGACGTTCACAGTTTAAATCAGAGACAAGAACAATACCCATATAAGGAAATAAAATATATTACTGAAATATACTTACTGGCAGTAACAGCTTATTATGGGAAAATGTGCAATACGGAACAATGTTTGCAAATAAAATGGTTCAGAGAGCTTGGCTTACATAATTCTATCCTCACACAGGAATATATTTTAATCTCTTACATCAGACATAAATTCTAGATTCGGACTGCTTATGTGAAAACCAATACTGCTATCATCTTCCTCATCTAAAGAAATGTCCTGGAACTGTCAGTTTTTTTTTTTTTTTTTTACAGAATGTTTTACTTGACCCAAACAAAATTATCAAGTTAAAAAGCAAACTAAACCCTGTGATCAGTAAGACTATCTGCTCCAATGCAGCAGACCTATAAAAACATAGAAATATGGTTAGTTACCTGATTCCCTCCCATCCGGTGGCAGGGTCCTAGTTCAACAAAGCCTCCGTTTGTTTTCCCCATGCTATCAATGCAGTAAACAGTTTCGAGGCCTCTGATCTACAAAAATGAACAAAGAGCCAAAGGGCCGGCAATGGGTTAGGCTGTCACGCGCTCTAGCTTCAGAGTAAGAGGGTTTCATGCTAGACACCGCAGTTCACAGTGGACCTCTGGGCGTGTGTCATGTCAGGTTTTGACGGTGCTGTCAGTCTTTCAGAGGTTACAGCATACCACTCCTCTCTGAAATCGTTTATGGGCTTGAAGTCAACACTGAATGGGGCCTATCCCAACTATGGGCGCTGGTCTCTAGATTTTGATAAGATACCACAGAAGAACGAAAATTAAAAAAATATCATTACATACAATTCCAGATTCATGATGATTTGCATGGGTGAGAAGCAAATAGAGTACAGGTACCTATTACCTCAGTGGTAACAGACACTGGCCCTAGACGTCTAGACCATAAGTGAATACGTAAGGGAACTCTTCCAAATGGTTCTGCGGCAACTCGGGCAGCTGTGTCCAAGGGGCCTAAGGGGGCAAAGACTATGGCAAATGGGCCAGGCAGTGAGACTTTTCCCAGACTGTGAATAACACAGGAGAGAAGCAAACACAGGGGATCATCTTTGAAATGCACATTTTGTGTAACAATCACCTTTCCCCTTTCTTGGAAATACTATATATTTGTATCTCAATTATAAATGACTATATTATTTGGATACAATGTTTAAAAAAAGTTTACTCTTTCAGTTAGCAAATACTGACTGAGCCCCTATGACGATGAGGGCTTTAGAAGATACAAGGAGATGAATCAAGTCATGGTCCAGGACCCTCATGTTTGTGAGAGACTGAGGGCTAAGCGACAATCGGGATGGAGGGTTGGGCGTGTGGAAAGGGGAGCCTCTCGCCCTGCCTGGAGGACTCTAAAGACTGTCTCAAGGAGACATGGGGTTTAAACGGGTAGGGGTTTACCCTGCAATGTGGAGGGAAGGCTGAGAAGCGAGGTGTAAGGAACAGGGGCCAGAGTGGGGATAAAGGATAAAGTGGAGATATATTTGGGGGTGAGCTTATAAAGGGAGAACAGAAAATTTCATCTATCTATTCACTCATGTCTTTATCTGTTCATCAAATATTCAGTGAGCGCCGTGGCACGCATGTGGCAGGCTCTGATACGCCAGTGAACAAAACAGATAAAAGGTCCTCGCCCCAGTGAACTTACATTCTATGGCGGGAAAGAGACTATAAGCAAAAAACGTTAGCAAACATGTCTGGAAGCAGTAAGTGCCTTGGGGGAAAAGAAAAAGAGCAAGTTAAAGGTGGGGTTAAGGCCGTTTGGTGGGCCAGCAGGCAGATTCTCACTGCGAAGGTAACACGATCGCTATATGTGCTATAATAGAACACAGAGGTGAAATAAGAGTATAGGGAGGGAGGTATTAAACCAAGATGAGCACAGCATAGGTGTTGGTTTCTTTTCTTCCCAAACTCTAAATGTCGAGATCCCTTAGGGATGGATCCCATCTTCTTTTATCCATCCTTGTTTTCTCCCTAGGTGAGTTCATTCAGTTTCATGAAACAATCTACCCGCTGATGGCTCCAAAGGTACACTGCCTCTCTTCTGGGCTTTAATATCACATGGTCTATTATCTACTTGACAGCCGCACCTGGGCATCCAGCAGGCACTTCCCACAATCAGAACGCCAACAAAGAACTTGCTATTCCCCCACACTTTCCCCTCATCCCCTCCATCAGCATCCCAATCTCAGCTGCCACCTAATCAGCTATTCAAATAAAAAACAAAACTGGTCATCTTGGCCCATATCCTTCACATACCCGTCCGTCAGCGATCTGCCTCCAGATGAATCATGTGGCTTATGCTGGTCTGCTTGTCTCCGTTCCATTTTGGACATCCTGGTCTCAGCCACCATCACTTCTTACCAGAACTACCCTACTAGTTTCCTAATTGGCATCCTCGTTTCTACTCTAAATTCTCACAGCAGGGTGATTAAAAAGCAAGTTGATGATAAGTACATCAACTTATATTAACTGCTTAAAACCCTCCCACGGCTTTCTACATCCATGGGATAAAGGCCTCCGTCCTCATTAATCTCCTCTTTTCTGATTATCATTAAGGCAAAGCATTTCCTGACTCAGAGTCTTCAACCTCACCATTTTCTTTACTTGGAGCACTCTCTCCTGGCTCTCTGGTTGATCATTCAGATCTCAGATTAAATGTCACCTCCTCAAAGAAGGCTTCCTTAATCTATCCCTAAATCTTCTTGACCATTACCTGTTTATTTCCTCTGAGGGCCTTACTACCATCTGCCATTATCTTGTTTACCTGTTGTCTTTTTTTCCCCCAAGGGGAGAGACCTGATGAAAGGGACCTGCCTGTCTTATGTCTAAAAGAGTGACTGGTACATAGCAGGCCCTTGACCACTATTTGTTGAGTTCTTAATTAAGCAATGATACATAAGTTTGAAAGTTCATGGCATGTTTAATATACCCATGAGGCAGCAGCATAAGGCTCATGGGTGGGGGGACATGAGAAATGAGATTACAGAGGCAAGTTTGAAGAAACAAAGAAATGACAACACCCATCAATGCCTTGGCCTGACCTTATTTATGTTCAGTTACCATTAATCCATTGATTCATTTGACAAGCATTGTTTGAGTGCCTGTTGTTTAGAGGGGGGTCTCTGTGTTAGTCCATTGGAACATGATAGTGAACCAGGTCCTGGGTCGAAAGACTGACTGAGAGGCAATTTTGAGTGTTATGAGAACCCATGGAAAGATCCAGAACTCAGTTTTTCTGACAGAGTGGGGAAGAATAAGAAAGGCTTTTCAGAACTGGTGGTCTCTAAATTGCGAGCAATAGGGTAAGTAGGAATAAGTCAGGCAAAGGAGTCGGAATGAGGGGCAGGGAGTGGACAGTGGCCCAGGTGGAGAGCTGAAGTCCACCAGCTGAGAGCAGGGGACGCCGTGGTCAGGTGCTCAGGGGAGGTGTGAAGGCTGGTGGGAAGGTAGGAGAGGTTACCGGACAGTTTTTAGAGAAACTTTTCTCCAAGAATTTTTCTCTCTCACTCACACATTTCCATCTTTCTCTGCCTTCTCCCACACTCAGTCTCCAAACACAGTTTTTGAGATCTGAATACTGGATGGTACTTACTTCTCCCCAGTCGACATTTTTGGGTGGCAAAGGGTAGTGTGAAGTTATGTCGTAAGCTATTTCTTCCATGAACCACTTGAAACTTTTGCAGTTGTGATCCTCTCGAAATTTTTTCAGCTCAGATATATCCCCATATGCTAATGCCTTTGATTCAGGACGACTGGCATAGAAGTAGTCCTTATATTCATCCCACCAAACCTCTACGACTCGAACATAATTCTGTGAAAAAGAACAGATCATTATGAAAAAGGAAAATATCTGCAATGCCATCAACAGCCCATCTTAGACACATGAAATATCACCAACATACAATAAACTCATTTCGATAGGACCTGATATTTAATAAAACAAACATAAGTGAGTTAATGAGTCTAACAGGTCAATTGCTAAGGCTAGAATATCAGGTATGTTCAACTAAGAAGTAATGGACACAGAATCTGATGTCACTGAGCTGTAAGGTCACATATTCTAAGATCATATATTCCATCTTGCTTCTAGAGGAAGAAGGTGAAGCCCAGAGAGGGTTTAGGAGAGGCTGGCAGGAAATGGGTGCTCCTTTGCCTAGAACAATCTCTTTTAGAACCACACTACCAGCATGTATAGGGAAAAAGCTGGTTTCAGAAACCATCACGAAAAACAATAGCGCTGTTGAATATATATATATATATATATATATTTTTTTTTTTTTGCAAGGGGCTTTTTTGGTCATATTATGACTGTAATAGAACCATTTTGCTATAACCCAGAATTTACAGGATATTTTCACCAGTTGATGCACTTTAAGGAAAAGCAGCTAAAGAACAATAAAATAAGTTAACATTGTGAAAACTGACAAAGATCTGTATATTCTAAGGCTTACCTGAATGCATGCCTGCAGGCATGAATATTGTAATGGAGTGAGTACATTCCCAATCTAGTCCCTTGGTCTTGTACATTATGCACCAGCATATTTTCTCTATAAAAGGCTGGAGAGTATCTTTGGCATAGCAGGCCAGACAGTTTCTGTAGCAATGGCTCAGCCCTGTTGTACTGAGAAAGCAGCGTCGACAACACATACACAAACGGATGTGGTGGTGCTCCAATATCACTGTATATACTGAAAAGGGCTGGATTTGGCTTAAAGGCCGTAGTTGCTGACCCCGGTTTTACATCAGGGGTAGAAAACACCTTGTGTTCAGACTAAAATTCTCCTAGGTTATAACTACCAAAAGGTGAACATGTTCCCACAGGCATGCTGTTGCAAAAGCCCATGGGCTCAAAAAAGTTTTAAACACTACTGCTAAATATGTCTTTTTAAATTTTGTTTATTCATTTCTTAGAGAGACAGAGATAGTGTGAGTGGGGGAGGGGCAGAGAGAGGGAGAGAGAGAATCTCAAGTAGGTTCCCCACTGTCAGCGCAGAGCCTAATGCAGGGCTTGAACTCACAAAACCATGGGATCATACCTGAGTGGAAACCAAGAGTCACCGACCGAGTCACCCAGGTGCCCCCTTGCTAAATATTTTTAATTTTTGCAAATTCATCCAAAATTAGACACAGCTCGTGTCTTCTAAATACTAATGAACACAAAGAATTAAGTGCGCATACACAAGTTTAAAGCAACACAAAGAAAGAGCACTTATTTAATTGTTTGGGGGTGGAGAAGGCCAGAGAGCCACCATGGAAGGGCACTGGACAGCTCAGTCTTGAAGGACTGGTTAATTATGTGTGAATGGTATTCAGGGCAAAGGGCAACCCAAATGAAATATGGCAAATCACGGTGCATTTGGGGTCCTAAAAGTAGTTTACCATAACTTGTCGTGTTTTGTGAAAATTAAGGAGTTAATCTCACAAAGCATTTATTCTGGTACATAATAAGTACTCAAAAATAGCTATTACTTTTATTCTTTTCTAGAATTCTTTGAATATTATCTTTTAGCTGACAGCCATCCAGAGGTTTTAAGCAGGTACAGACATGAGATTTAATCTTCAGGGGAACAACACTGGTGGTGGAGAGGAAGATAGATCGAAGGGGATTGAGCCTGATAGCGAAAAGCCAAACACGAGGTTATTCAATCTCTATATGGGAGTCATCTGAGGACCTGTACTAAGTATAGAAAGGAATGGATTTCAGAGAGATGTATGAGGTAGACTCTTCAGGGCTTGGTACCGTGGGAGGGTAGGGAGGAAGACTACCCTAACATGCCCCGTAAGTTTCATTCATGGGCAAACAGAGAATAGACGAAAGGGAATTGCTTTTGAGAAAAAGTTAAAAAGTTCAGCTTTGACTCCATTGAGTTTGAAATGTCTGAGGGTCATCAGAAAAGATAATTCTGAGAGGCAACTGACTATTCAAAGTCTGAGGCTCAGAGAAGACAAACGAGCTGGATAAATACACAAAAACCATTAACACACCCCAGGTGCTCCCTAAGTGTAGACTACATGTTACATTTATCAGATAGTTTTTATGATATGTACAGTTCATTTTTAGAATGGATAAATATTTCCCTCACATCTCTTTTCCTTGTAGCATGGGCCTTCATGAGTCAATGTGACTTTTCATTCTTTGTGATTATGGGTCCAAATCCAAGGGCAAGTTCTTTTCCTGTAATGCCAGTCTGGCCTGGTGTTAATATGGTGCCCTTTGTTTTAGCATGGACATTTTCGTCTCATCCTCTATTCTGGCTGGGCTCCATCTGGCCATTTCTATGATAATTTGGCTGGTTAGAACGCTGTGTTCATTCTTAAGGTCTTGTCATCTCTGCTTCTGTTATCTACTTCCCTTTAAGGAACTGTCCCAAGTTGCATCTGCAGCCAATAATAAACTTCCTTCTGACTTCCTTTTGGCTTGGTTAGGGGCTCCAGAAAATGAATGGAATCAGAGTCCTATGCTCTTAGAATTTATGAAAACAGCACAACCAAAGAAACTTCAAAGTTGTTTGGTCAAGAATAGAAGACTTCGTCTTCCTGGCCTCTGTGTGAAGCAGGACATCTGGCCTCTGTGTGAAGCTTTTCTGGTTCGTCCCTGGTTTGAGGGACAAAAAGATATTAACCTTCTGGAAGCACTGTTCAAAAATCTGATTTTGTTTCCTACACAAACTCCTAATATAATTACTTTAATTTTTTAAACAAAAATAATATTTTACTCAAGTGTGAATAATAGGAGCTGGTATTTTCCTTTCAACCACCTTCCTACAGAGTGGTAGTCCTTTTTAAATTTATTTGAGATGTCTTCGTGGAGAATATTCAATATAAAAATCTTAACCAGAGTGGGATACAATCAATACTCTTAAAAAGTAATAAGATCCCTGATACACATAGATGCAAAGAGCCTCAACAAAATATCAGCAAGCTGAATGCAACAATACATTGGAAGGATCATACGTGATGAATAAGTGGGGTTTATTCTGGGAATGCAAGTGTGGTTTTACATCTACATTAACAAAAAGAAGGATAAAAATCATATAATCACCTCAATGGATGCAGAAAAAGCATTTGATAAAATTCAACATCCATTTATGATAAAAATTCTCAATAAAGTGGGTAGAGAGGGAATGTACTTCAACATAATGGAGGCCATATATGACAAGCCCACAGGTTAACATCATACTCAATGGTGAAAAGCCGAAAACTTTCTGTCTAAGATCTGAGACAAGGATGCCCACACTTGCTACTTTTCATCAATTTAGTACTGGAAGTCTTGGCCACGGCAATCAGACAAGAAAGAAACAAAAAGCATCCAAATTGGAAAATAAGTAAAACTCATTATTTGCAGATGGCATGACACGTTACATAGAAAACCATAAAAGGTCTATCAAAAAGCTATTAGAGGTAATAAATGAATTTAGTAAATAGGATACAAAATTAATATGTCTGTTGCATTTCTATAAGAAATTAAGGAAACAATCCCATCTACAATTGCATCAAAAAAACCTAGAAATAAATTTAACTTAAGGAGGTGAAAGACCCATACTCAAAAAATGATTAAGACACTGATGATTTTAACTAGAATTTAAAACTTGAAATAAAAAAAAAAACTGAAAAAGACAGTGAAGAACAAAATTGAAGACAGCACAAATAAATGTAAAGAGATACCACACTCATGGATTAGAAGAATCAATATTATTAAAATACCCATACTACCCAAAGCAATTTACAGATTAAGTACAATCTCTATCAAAACACCAATAGTATTTTTCATAGAATGAGAGCAAATAATCCTAAAATTTGTGTGGATCCACAAAACACCAAAGCAATCTTGAGAAAGAGGAACAAACCTGGAGGTATCATGCTCCATTATTTCAAACTATACTACAAAGTTAGAGTAATCGAAACATTATGGTATTAGCACAAAAACAGATACACACATCAATGGAACAGAACAGTGAGTCCAGAAATAAACCTATGCTTACTGAGACAGTTTTCTCAATAAATGTTAGAAAAACCGGACAGCTACCTGCAGAAGAATGAAACTGGGCCACTTTCTTACACCGCACACAAAATAAACTCAAAATGACTAAAGATTTAAATGTAAGACCTGAAACCACGACACTCCTAAGAAAACACAGGGACTAAGCTTTTGGACACTATTTTTTTGGGATTGGTTTCCTCAGGCAGGTGCAACAAAAGAGAAATAAACACTACAAAAAGCCTTTGTATAGTGAATGAAACCATCAATAAAATGAAAATGCATCCTACTGAATGGGAGGATATTTATTTGCAAATGATCCAACCAAACAGAGGTTAATATCCAAAGTATATAAAGAACTCACACAACTCCATATCAAAAAACAAACAATCCAATTAAAAAATTGTCAGATGACCTGAATGGACATTTCTCCAAAGAAGACATACAGGTGGTCAACAGACACATGAAAAGGTATTTAACATCACTAATCATCAGGGAAACAAGAAACCAGAATGAGATATCACCTCCCACCTGTCAGAATGGCTGTTGTCAAGAAGACAAGAAATAAGTGTTGGTGAAGATAGGAAGAAAAGGGAACCCTCATGTGGCCGTTTTTGAGAATGCAAACTGGTGTAGTCGCTATGGAAAACAGTACAGAGATTCCTCAAAAAATTAAAAATAGAACTACTATACAACCTAGCAATTGTACTTCTGAGTATTTACCCAAAGAATATAAAAACACTAATTCAAAAAGATATAGGTACCCCTATGTTCACTGCAGTTTTACGATACAATTTACAATGATAATAACCAAAATATGGAAACTGAAGTATCCATTATAAAACTGACAGATAAAGATGTGGGGTATATAGATACATTCTCTCTCTACTCTCTCCCACATACAAATGGACTATTACTCAGCCATAAAAAAGAATAAAATCTTGCTATTTGTGAGAACATGGCTGGACCTGGATGGACAACATGGCTGGTATTAGTGTAATAATAAGTAAGGCAGAGAAATAAGTAAAGCAGGGAAAGGCAAGTACCATATGATTTCACTTCTTTGTGGAATCTAAAAGAGAAAGGAACAAACAAAGCAAAAGAGAAACAGATTCATAGATACAAAGAACAAACTGATGGTTACCAGAAATGGGGGGCAGATGGGTGAAATAAGGGAAGAGGAAGTCATATACAGCATAGGAATACAGTTAATAATACTGTAGCAACTTTCATGGTGACAGATGGTAGCTAGATTTACTGTGATCATTTCATAATATATATCATGTATAATATATAACATATAGAAATGTTGAATACCTGTGTATACCTGTAACTAACATATATAATATTGTATGTCAACCAGATTTCAAATAGAGGCACAACAAAACAAAAACAATAAGGTGTTTCATGAATGAGTTCAGCTTAAATTGAAAGGGAGAAGCGGCATGCGTGCTTAAAAGATTTATTCCATTCAGAGAGCTGACATGTAAGTGACCATCATAGGCTGTGGCTTTCCTCCTTTTACCCAGAGACTCACCTTCAGAGTTGGAGAAGACCCAACGTAAATGGGTGGAGGATTCCCTTGCCAACCCTCAAGACGGTAGATGTGTCCAACACGGGAACAAGGCACAAACAGCAATTTGCCACCACACTGCCATATCTGTCAGGGAAAAACACATGTGGAAGTCGTTTCAAATACTAAGATATAGTTGAAACTTTGTCATCGATGTAAATATAAAATCTAAATTAGATACAGTGTCCATGGGGAATCATAAACTCAATAAATCCTAAAGTAATTTGCTTGTTTTTTCAAACTCCTATAATAACAAAGAAGGCAACAGGGAACGCAGTCATGTCCAGCCACGTACTTGCAGCTTTAAACACCATTTCCCCAATGTCACCTTGCAAAGTCACGCAGATTCCTCACTCCTGATGTTATTCACTGTTTCCACTGCTAATGTATTTCCCACCTGGGTGATTAGTATAATAACCTCCAAACTGGCTTCTTCGCCTTCAGCTTCTCTCTACTCAATGCTATCCTTATTTATAGTAAGAGATTATTCTAGCTGAAGGGCAGCTTTGGCTCACGTTATTCCCTTGCTTAATATCTTCAATAGGTTGCCACTACTTATCAAGTTCAATAAAAATCTCTTGGCTCAGCACGAAAGGCTCTCTTCCATACAGTCCTAACAGACTTGCCCACTTTTTCCTCTTGGACATCTTTCTTACCCATGCCGATTCTGCTAAACTGTGCTCCTCACTGTTTCCCGAATACAGTCTTCATGTGCCCACTTTTGCACCTTTCCCCGTTCTATTTGCTCTGAGGTCACCTTCCCCTCCTTTTATCTCTGCTTATTGATACCATGCTCACCTTTCTAGTTTGCCTCAAATCCTACCTTCAATATGATGATGTTTCTTTTTTTTTAAATTTTATGTTTATACATTTTTTGAGAGAGAGGGAGTGAGCAAGCTGGGTAGAGGCAGAGAGAGAGGGAGAGAGAAATCCCAAGCAGGCTCCATGCTGCCTGCACAGAGCCCGTCATGGGGCTTAAACTCATAAACTGTGAGGTCATGACCTGAGCTGAAACCAAGGACTGAGCCCCCCAAGTGCCCTCATGATGCTATTTCTTAAGCACAACAATTGAACACCAGCTACCTTCTCACCATATTATGAATTTAAGTACAATTCTAATCTCTTATGAGCTCTAAGTTCCTTGAGAGCAGGGACTGAGTTGTTCTTCTGTCTCTAGACATTTAAGAGAAGAGACAATAAATATCTGTTTAACCCAAACTCATACAGTTCTCTTTCTTTTGGTAAATGGGGGTGAGGATGGGTTGTAGCATGGAAGGCATTATTGTTCAAGGGCTGCCTCCACAACAGGGTGGGTGCTGCAGGAAGGCAGCCCCAGGGTCAGTCTGGGGGTGCCCAGTCATGCTTGGGATCTGCTGCTGTCCGGAATCCTCATGTCCGATACAGATAAAGGGTAACTGTGTCAGTGGATGGTCAGATGTGGCTCCCACACATGCAGGTTCTCCAAAGGGCTTTTATAACAAAAGGCTTCAGTGCACAGAAAGCCTGGGGTGGGGGGGAGGCAGGGAGTGGGAGAAGGAGGTATTTTCATTTTTGAAGTTTGCTGGCCTCAATGCTGAGATGGGCCACGTAAATACGCATTAAGTCTGGATTTTGCATTTTGCCCTATTTTTCCCCAAAGGCATGCGTTTTTGTAAGTCATTCTTTATAACTGCATTAAATAGGTCTTTTCCCAGAGAAACCAGCCTTAGCTAAAAGTCACCAAAGTCAGTAATAATTACTTGGAAAACTGCATTTGTTTAAAGAAAATGTTACCTTGTATGAGATCTCAAAGTTTTCACCACCCCAAATCTGGAGACCTGGATCATAGAGACCCAGTTCAAAGAAGAACTCTCGTTCAATGGCAAATAATCCACCAGCCATGGCGGGGGACCTAAGACAAGAAACAGTGCAATAACTATTAAAGATAAACCCCCAGAATCCCTTCACAAATAGACAACAAGCCTTTTTGGAACATAGTCTAAGTAATGCACAGAAGAGACAAAACGGATGGCCAAACATTAAGAAATTACGAAGTCTTCACAAAACAATCGGTTTATAATTCTCTGACGAATTTACAATTTCTATCTGAAATCCAATTTATAGTTCACTGCAAATTAGAGCACTGCATCATTTTGCCATTAGAGGGTGCCTTAGTACCTTTGTTGGTTTGAAAATTAAGCCTTGAGAGTTAGTTAAGATGGAATTTTCTCTTTCACTCCTAAAAATACTGAGCCATACCGCCATGGTCTGCTAACTGCTCCTACAATGATTTATGAGTCATTCTAGGATGAGTGAAACCATAGACCATGGAAGTAGTCTGTCATTTTTTAATTTTATAGCTCAGGGGCATGCCAAATAAGGGTGTAAATCATTGTGGAACAGCCACAGTTCATTCAGAATTTGCAAATGTAGCAAAGAGATGACACAAGAGAATTAGACATTAGCTATTTACTATGTCAGGAGGTAGGAATGCAAAAGGGTGATGTGTGGAGTTTCTTGAATGGAATCTTGAACTGGATACTTTTAAGGGACGAGCAAGCCATTCATATCACTAGAGCCAGTGATAAGGGTAATCATTTTCATCCTGTTTCCCACCCCCAATTAATTACTAACATATCCTGATTCTTAAGTGGACTCTCCATCAGAGTACTTTCTTTATCACCACACCTAATATTTAATCTGTCACTAAATCCTATTGACTCTATCTTGAGCCTGCGTTCTACTTTCCAACATCACAGCTGCCACCATCCTAGACCAAGCTACTACCACTTGGACTGCTAAGGGAACACCCCGACTGGGTCTTTTCCTCTGTTCTGCCCCCACCCCAATCTAATCACACAGCAGGCCGAGTGGACTCAACACGGGCCCAGGTGATGCAAGCCTCTCCCCACTCCTGAGTGGGCTTCCTCGTCCTGAGTTCTTCACTGCTCTGCTCAGGCCTCTAACACGACCCACCCTCTTCTAGCTCAGGGATTCACCTCCGTTGTTCGCTCTCCTGAAATGTTCTTCTTTCTCCCCAGGGCTGACTCCTCACCTTTCAAGTCTCAGCTTGAAGGGGACTTTGTCAGGGAGGCTGTTTGGGCTCCTCCCGACTGGATTAGGTTCTCCTTCCCACAAGCTCCACGTACTCTCTGATTTTTCTTCACACTACTTACTGCAGGTGCTGTTCCAGAGTTACTTGTGTAGTTACCTGTTTAATTTCTGTCTCATCCATTACATTTTAGGTGCCAGGAGAACATGTCTTTTAAAAATTTATCCCCAGAAAACAGTGTCTGGCACATACTAAGCACTCATTAAATATTTGTTGAATGGATAAATAATAAATCAAGTAATACTTTCAATATGAAAGGAAATCACATCAAGTGAAAGTCATTCTCTTATGCCTTCTCTTATGCTGCCTAACCTGGTAATAAGCAGCACCAGCACATTCCTGGTTATTTTCATGTCACATTTATTTAACTATCGTTTACAATTATTATAACCATGCTTTATTGATCTTTAAATGCATTCCTGATTATCTCGGTATGTCTTTTTTAAATGCATCTTAACATGAAAACCACTTTAAAAAAACCTCTTGACTAGCTCAGCCCATGGAATGAGCAGAATGTGAATATAATCACGACCCTTTATTTTTTACACCCAGAAATATTCATTAAATCAAGTGGGTAAGCAGTAAATTCCTGGCCTCTTTCAAAAACGAACCTCAAAGAGAAATTTGGAAAGTGTCAAAGATTAAAACTCTGTAATTTCCTTATGTCTGCCATCTCAGTATCTGGTCTCCTGGCGTGCCCAGATCCCACCAGCATTTGCATAACATTGGAAACACCTTCCCAAAGCAGAGTTCTAACACGATCAGCAGTATAACAAGGATAGAGAGACCAAAAGCAGAACCATAAGATCAGAAAAACAAAATTAGACACATTTAGAAGCCTATACTAACATTTGACCAAATATTTCATTTGGAGTCACTGTGAAGGACAGTAAAATGTTTCAGTTTAAAGACCAAAAGAACAGAGCAGCAGAACTGTTCTATTTGTCCCGTAAGAAGGGACAAAAGCTGATTCTGGAATAAAGTTTCCTTTTAATCAAGTGCTCTTCTGAGAAGGAAGAGATAAAGGATTTCATGTAATATGTTCCAAAGTCATGTATGTTTATTCATCAGATCCAAGCGGTACAAAATTAGTATTTACAAGTTAGCATACAAAACACAAAGAAGAAAAAAAACCCAAAGAAATCTCTTGCTATTTCTCTTTCATTGTTAACACTATAGCCTAGGGATCAAAGTGGATATAAAACTGGGATTGTAAGTAATTTATGCATTTTAAATGTACAGAATGAAATTATGGTCAAAAGACTAAAATCTGATGTCTAGTCTACTATGACAGGAGAGCAAAGATTTTTTTTTCACTTGTATTTGAAACCTCCCCCCAACCCTCCCCGCCCCAATGGAGCTTGCATTTAGAGAAAAAACAACTACAAAGTAGCAAAGGTGAACTCAAACCTCTGAGCTAATATTAGGGGAAAGACTGGTACAGAATCTGAGATAGCATCTACAGTGTTAGTAACAAATTTTTTAGCCTGGCAAAAGGTTAATAGGTTAGCAGCAACTGGAGAAAAGAAAAACATGTAAGTGATTTAGTGATTACCGATATGGTTCAGTTTTTGTCTTTCTCATTCTCTTCTCTTGATGGGTCAGAGGCACCCGTTTCCAGAGCATACTCCAATCCCATGCTCCTCGGGCATACCCATCTTCGTCACCACCCCCTTGGGGTACAATTTCATATGTGTTGCCATTTATGACATCTATAATCGGCACAGTGCAAATGGTTCTGTATTGTGTTGATGATGGCAGCAAAGATGAAATGGAAGGTATGTATGGACCCACATATTTATACAAGTACATGGGGAAGGAAAAAAAAAAAGTACTTAGATAGACATTCCACGTAAGAAAATAAAGTAGTAATCTTTACCGATAAGGTTCAGTTTTATGCTTTCTTTTGGCCTTTTCCTTGTGGCTTAGAGGAATACGTTTCCATAGTAAACTCCAGTCCCAGGCCCCTCTGGCAAAACCATCTTCATCCCCACCTTGCTGTGGTTCAATGGAATAATCATTCCCATCTATGTAATCTATTAGAGGCACAGTACATGTAGTTCTGAAACATTTACAGAAAATGAAAAAGCATTTAAGAACCCAAAACTGACTAGTTTAGCATGCCTAACTGTATTATCTCTTTTTACTGTTGATTTTTTTTTTTTCCATTAGGGAACTTTAATGGGTAATAGAAGTAATGTCTTTGAAAGTCAAGGAGCCCTTTTCTGTAAAGGAAGGACACAGGAGACTTTTCCCTCAGCTTACAGACAAATGTTGAGCTTAATCATGTTTTCTCGTATTTACTTTGCTCCTACAGGCAATTTTCTCTTGGTAATTTTACATTATTTATCAGATTTTCCTGACTGTTATTTTCCCTCTTATCCCTCCATTTAAAAAAATGAATATGAATGTGTGAGCGTCAATGTGAACATGCATGTGTGTGTGAATATGAGTGTGAGTATAAATGTGTGAATGTGTGAGCATGAATGTGAGTGTAAATGTGTGTGACCATGAATGTGTGTGACTGTGAATGTGTGTGACTGACTGTGCGTGTAGAGAAATAAAACCCTCTACATTCTTAGTGGTTCTCCCAACTTTCTGTCACTTTCTATTCCTTTGGAAACAGTTATTATGAAAATCTGTTTCTGTTCCTTTAAGTGACCTCCTTTTCCTATTCCTTTTATTGCAATAAACAGCTTTCGTTGCAAGAAAAAAAAAGGTACTGTATTGCATTCCTGCTTTTTTAAAAAAAGAGAAAAAATCCCTTAAAACTTGCTGAAGAACTGAAGTAGTACTCTGGGAACTTGAAGCAAAAAAATACCTTGTATTTGGGCTTCATAAAATTCTAGTTCTATATGACTCATTAGATGGAGGATCAACTCTGCAGACAGTTTGGCTTGTTTTAATGGTCATCCTATCAGAAAGGATTTTAAAATGCATTTCCTGAAGCAGGGATTACAGCTTTACATAACCATGTTATGATGCTTTTTAGATGCTTAGAAACCAAGGAGAAAAGAAAAACCTATAGACTTCTAATACGGGGGAAGTGGATTTGAGACAGATGCTGTATTCTCTGCAGACGGCGGGGGCAGGGTCACTGTGGGATATATGTGAGAATGCCACAGGGTCCTGTGGAAAGCCACTTCCTTATGATGGCTAAGGACTGCTGGTTTTCACCTGAAGAGGTGGAGGTGTGTCATCTTTCTTCACTTCTCACGATTCTCAGATTTCTAAATAAACAGTGTAAAGTGCCCCTGAGAGATCTCAGTTTCATGGTTCATTGGCTGTTTGAATTGGGGCGAATTAATGAACTCTTCTAGGCTTCAATATCCTCTTCAATACAATGTAGCTAATAATATCTATCTTGCAGAGTTGCTGTGAGGATTAAGTCAGCGTGTGAAAAATGTTTATGATAGGCTTTCAGACCAAATCCACTGATGATTAAATCCCTCAAAGTTCTTCCTTTGATTCATGTCATTTACCCCAGGAACAGGTTTTATTTCCCTCAATTCTGAAATAGTCAGAATTCTACACTAAAAGCAGGGAAGGCTTTTGGAACTGGGAGATTAAATGCTGCCTTCCATTGTTCAGACATTTCTGTAAATGTAATGGTGATGGCCAAATTTCCACAGAATAGCTGTCTATTTCTAAATTTCTACAGGAACCCAAAGCCTTGACATGGGTAACAGCTGGTCCTTTTTATCTAAAGTAATAATTCACAAAAGGGCATAAAAACCCAATAGGTATCATCTCAAAAGCATGGATCTTCAAGTCTTTAAAACTGTTACCACAGCAGAGAGGGGGCAATTAACATGACTCTTAGACAAAGCTTTTGGAGCTAGAGGGTTGTCTGTTCACTAACCCAACGGTAAGATGATTCTTGAGTGAGACACCTGACAGCTTATCCCAAATGCCAGCCCGCCTGCATGTGAATCAGCCCAAAGTATCTGTCTGGCTCCACCCCAGGGAACAACTGGCTGAATGATAACACTTAAAACACAGCGCTTGAGGCACTGAATGGGACTAGAATCAGGAGAATGAGAATATTATTTGTCCTTCTAGGACAAGGTTTACTTTTCACTCAGGAAAAAAGGAAAAAAAAAAAAAAAAAAGCAAAGTAATGTTACCTGTCCTTAGATATGGGAGCTACAAGCGGTGCATACCAGTTAACCGCCACCTCACAGTGGGCATCAAGGTATATCAAAACCTTAAAAAACAGAGGCAGGGAGAAAGAACACTCTTCAAATATGGTACATCACATATCACACACAATTTAAAATGAGATGCTAATAATAAATTAGCATTAGAGTCAATTCTGACACAGAAGGTATCTGTTTAATAAAGCCAGCATTTCAATTAAAAATAAATATGAAGGGTACTTAAGAATGTATATGATCAGGGGCGCCTGGGTGGCTTGGTCGGTTAAGCGTCCGACTTTCGCTTAGGTCATGATCTCGCGGTTTGTGGGTTCGAGCCCCACGTCGGGCTCTGTGCTGACTGCCAGCTCAGAGCCTGGAGCCTGTTTCAGAGTCTGTGTCTCCCTCTCTCTCTGACCCTCCCCTGTTCACGCTGTCTCTCTCTCTCTCCTAGAAATAATTAAATATTTAAAAAAAAAAAAAAAGAATGTATATGATCTTGGGGCACTTGGGGGCTCGGTTGGTTAAGCAGCCGACTTTGGCTCAGGTCATGATCTCACAGTTTGTGAGTTTGAGCCTTGTGTCGGGCTCTGTTGACAGCTCAGAGCCTGGAGCCTCCTTTGGATTCTGTGTCTCCCTCTCTGATCCTCCCGCACTCACACTCTGTGTCTCTCTCTCAGGGAAAAAAAAAAAAAAATTGTATATGATCTTTTAGTTACCAAATCCAAGATGTTGACATTGTAAAATGTCAAATGTTTCCTACCTGTCCAAGTTTAGCCTTCTGGGCGCCAATACTTCGTGCTTGAATTAAACCTTCTCTTCTTTCATTTCGAAATACCTTCACTAAGCCATTCCACAGCTTAATATAGTCATCTAGTTTTTCTTTTAAGTGTTCTATGAATAAAAGAATTCAATCAACACTATAAATTATATTTACGTACATAAACCGGTTAAACTATAATTTTTCTCAACAAACAGGCATAGGCAACAGGTCCAGTTTATCAAACAAATTGAATGTTTACAGGGAAGTAAACTAAAGTGGATTGTTTGAGTTCATTTTTAGCTTAATATGCCTACAGAGAGCTGGTGAGCCTGTCATCAAACATCTGTCCAAACATTAAATATACGATGACTATGTCAACTGACATGAAAACTTAAGAAAATCCACATATTAATATCTAAAATCTATATGGCAAACATTTTGGTTGCTTTAGCAGCAGTAATGGTTCCAGGTTTCTGAAGATACACGGACTATAAACAACATTATATGACTTTACTGGAATCTATATAGGGTATAGGTTAACATGTTTCTAGCTATAATCAGTGGTGAAGGTTGTAGCCGTGGTGTGATATAGTTCCCATCAAGTTGCCAAACAATAACCAAAGGATCCAATTTTCTCTGCACTGGGGTATTAAAAAGTGTATATATATATATATGTATATGTGTATATAAATAATTATGATATATACATATGTAAATATTTAAACATAAGATTTATGTATAATGAATAAGTATACATACATATTTGCAATCTGGTAGAAGAACCTTTGTCAAAACAAAGACACGTTTGCCAAAGTTTCCACCTTTGTTTCCCAGTTGCAAGAGAATAACTTTTGTTTGTGTCACTATGAGCCCTTGAAATTGGTCCATGACAGCCACAACTAGCTCTTGGATCTCTAAACATGTTTCTTGGGTACATAAAATTATTTTTAAGTTGTTTAAAACTTTGGACCATGAACACGTAAAACACAACAAAGAAGCTATATTTAGGGATGAACTAGTCAGACTGTGCACTTAATACTTGACATAGTTAGGGAGCAATACATTTACTCATGGGTATTCAGGATGGAGAAGAAAAAATTTACCTTTTACTATTTTGGCATCCAGTTTTCATGAGTATTATAAATAAAATTCTCATGCTGAATTATAATTTTTCCCCAGAAAAATCTAGGTAATTTTCCCCTGCAATTTAAGTGATTTTTTTTTTTTAAATCTTACCTTATTTTTTTTCAGCTTGGTACAATCCTAAATTACTTTTTAAAAGCACCTCCTGAATTGCATTTCAGTGCTCTTTGGACTGTGCAATCTAAATAAATCTAAAATAAATTGTTATGGCCAGAAAGGAGTTGATGGCCTGTACTTCAAATTTAGATTCTTTAGTTAAGACGGTCCAAAAGGTAAGTTGGTCACTCATGTGACTTCTGGCTTCTTTGGGATCTCGCATTGTGGTAGACTCTAATAATGTTCAAGACATTCGCCTCTTCTCGGGGAATAACTATTCTCCCCAGCGCGCTGAAAGCAGGCTAGACCATGTGGTTTGCCATGGCCAACTAGATGCGGCAAAATGACGTGAGGCACTGGTGAGCAGAAGTGTTAAATTCCCACCAGTGCTTCACTGTGACTTCTTCCTTTGCACAAGGCAGGCCATGTGTGAGATCAGGCTGCCTTGCAGTGAAGATGTGGGGCAGCGCTGGGGCTGACCCACAAGAAATGCATGGTATGAGCCAGAGAACTGTATAACCCCGTGTTGTTACGAGTCACAGAGTGTGGAGTCCCCTTTTACCGTGGCCCCATGCAGCCTCAGCTGGCTGATGTACAGGCAGGGAAGAGTGTGCTCTATTTCAAGGCCCCAATCCTTGTTCAGAGAGGACACTGTATTTTCCAGAAACCCCACTGTTACGAGCCCCCAGCTCCTTTGTGAGGTTTTGTATTAGTAAAGTGTTTTGTTTTTCAAAGAAAAATTGTAACTCTAACTTTTGCTTTCTGAATATATCGGGGTAGGAACAAACCAAATGTTCACTCATTAAGGACAGGACTGACAAAGTTTAAGGCTGTTGTGAAACTGGGAAAATGAGAGACCTTCTGTACTTCTGTTCAAGGGGAGCTCCTGCAGCGCCTCTCTGCACTCGGCAAAGAGAAGCAGGTCCTGAACTTGATGGCTACTAAACTGTACTATAAGAGCCTGAATATTAGAGCACTGATCACAAAAAAAAATTTTAAGTCAAATGGACAAAAAAACTGAAATCCCAAATTTTGTTCTCCTCTTCTGAAGCCAAGCAGTTATTTTAGGATGGGAAATACATTTTAGTGTATCTGCACTTTTTTTTTTTTTTAAAGGATATGCTAAGCTTCTGCTTGTATTAATAACGTAAGGCTTCTTAAATCAGCATAATCACATACATGAGATTTCCCAAAGTCATTTTTGTAGACGTAGGCTTTCCTAAATCTAAAATACTGTTGGTACCAACAATATCACTTTGAAATGTATTTTCAAATATTTATCTTGAGACAGGAATCGTATTCTTAATGAAAGCACTCCTTGTCACAGAAAATTGCAATTAATATGTCTAAGTTAAAGGGCATTTGTTAGGACTAAATATTTTTGGAGATTACAGTTTTTAGTGTAATTAAAAGTGATTAGTTGGGAAAAAAGTGATTAGTTGTACAAAGATGAGGGGAAAAGGAAAGAGGCCATATTTCTGTTTCTTCTCCGTGCTGACATCTGTGTCGATCAAGATTCTGGTCATGTCCTTGCAAAAACAGCAGAGGTTTATCTATATGGCGAGATTTACAAATTAAGTTTTGGAGAAAGCTTTTGTAAAGCTATTTTGGATGATATTTTCAGGCTACCCATGTTCTGTCTTCACTTCTAATATATTCAGTGGTATCACTACTTGTACACAAAAATTCTCTGCAAGACTTATTTGCCAAAAAAAAAAGCAAATATCCTGTTGTTATTGGGTAGCCTGAGCTCTTTGGTCAATTTTCAAAGAATCTAATTCAGTTTTATGACAAGCAGAGAGTAATAAATAAATAGCCAGATCTGGGTTTCAGCAGCACCACTACTTTTTTTATTTAGCATGCTGATTTGGGGTCTGAACTAGAGCATTATCTATCTTCTAATACGTGTGCCAGTAAGAAGATATATTCAGCTTACAAGAAATGTTAATATAAAAAAAACCCACTTATCTGGAAAACCACTGCTCAATCTCTCTCTTGCCAAGTTGAACCAAGACTAACTAATATCTCCCTTAACACTATAACAGCTGACTCCTTAAAGAGAATAAAAAATACAACACAATTTCCTTTTATTCAACATACTAAATCAAATACAGAACAAAATAAGCGTTAGTAGATACTTCTGTTCTATGCAATGATGGTCCACGGTGTCTGGTCAAATTCAATATTTGCATCATTATTCAAATGCAAAAAACAGGCCATTAAATAGGTATATGGGCTTCAGTTTGGCAGCTATGGATGGAGTATCAGGTGGCAATACAATATACACACAACTGTTGCACTTTTCAGCCTTTCAGTAAATTATCTCCATGACCAAATTTTGACAAAATCCAAGACCTAAAGAATTGGTGTAGTGTTAAGATGGTAGTGAAATACACAGATTTATGAGCCTGTAGATTTGGATCTGTTAACTACTACCTCTGTGATGTTTGACAAGTTACATAACATCTCCGAGGCGCCTGTGTAAAATAAAGATAATAACAGTATCCATCTCAAGGATTACTGCCAGGATTAAATAAAATAATTTACATATAATGCCTGGCACAGTGCCAACTTGATAACGGATGCTATCGATAGATGCTAATTATTAATTTTTAAAGACTAATTGTTTTAAAATCATACTTTGTAATTATGCATAATTAGCTTATTTCGCAGACAGAATGTCGATTTTCCACAGCCATTACCTTTATTACTGAAATCATCAATTAACACAATTTCTGCTAAATATTTCCTTGGAGTCCTTTTAATGACACTGTGGACCGTTCTCATGAGGGTTGACCATCCTTCGTTGTGGAAGACAATGACCACGCTGGAAGTGAGCAGGTTCTCATCATAATGCCAATACTTGCACCTGTGAAAGGAACATTCGGTCGTGTTTATTTAGAGAAATCTATAATGCGTGGCTTCAAACTTACTATGATTATGTTTTCTGACTGGATTAAATATTACTGACTCAAACGAGGGAAGTGAATGAAATACAACCTTTTATATTTTAACAGAAACACAAAATGGAAGAGAGAAGATGCTGTGAGATGAAGTCACTCACAGCGCAACTTCCTCACCAATTGGCACTTGCTGTGAGGTAAAGAGAATTAATTTCTGAATGTATGCTTCCCCTCCAGGGGCACTCCATATCTTCACAGCAGTCAGAGCTGGGCTTTCCCCCACACCCTCATGACTTGGATCTCAGTTTGTTTTCCTTTTTAAAACTTGAGTTTCTAGGGCAAAGGATTTATTTCACTTGCTGTGTATGAACCACCATGTAGCTGAGTTTGAAAGCTGTCCTGTTCTAATATGGCCAAAACCCTCAGGAAAAAAAAATGAAATAGGCTGACCTGTAGCATATATCAGACATTAAAAAATTAACTGTTGAATGAATTTTAAAAGTCCTAGTAATCTCGGGAGCCTGGGGGGCTCAGTCGGTTAAGCATCCAATTCTTGATTTTGACTCGGGTCATGATCTCATGGTTCATGAGTTCAATCTCTCTTTCTCTGCCCCTCTCCCGCTCATGCTTGCTTGCTCTCTTTCTCAATATAAATAAACTTAAAAAAAAAAGTTCTAGTAATGTTTAGTTATTAAAGAAGGTATTCAACTATTTTACACAAACTATTTGACACAACTACAGTAGGAATAAAGTTGCCAGGAACCTTTTTCTAATTGATAGAAACTGAGAAAAGGGCCTGATAAAGACTCAAGGAGCCAGGGAAGATTCAGGGAGTTTCACAAAAAATACATGCGTGCGCGTGCACACGCACACACACACAGTATATATACGTACATACGTGTGTATATAGACACACATTTATATTTTGTTTGTTTTTTTAACCTCAAAGTTTTTCATGAAGTAAATGAGCTTGTTCTCAAGATTAAATGTAAAGCCATAGCAGCAGTAATTAACGTTATCAGCTTGATAACCTATACCAGCAATTAGAATAGTAACCATTATTAAAAATAGGTCCTCAGGTTGCTCAGGCAACCTTGTTCCTCCCCTGAGGATAAACACCGGGCTTAGGGTGGAAGAAGTGGATGGCACAGACGCCAATTGATTTATAACAGACAGGAGAATTGGGGAAAATATTCCAGACCTGGGAGGACATTTGGGACTTGCTGATTTCTAAGGCAGAGTATGACAACTTGGGGAAACAAGCAGATAGGGATTCTGAACAGGAGGCATAAAGGAGTTGAAGACAAAGAGGGCCTGGGAGAGGGTAGGCAAAGGTAGAGTGAAGATGGCAGAGAGGGTCCCATGAGGGACACTGTCACTGTCCTGGGGAACTGCACAAGTGGAGAGAGTTTAAAGGTCGGGGCGTGCTGCCTTGCCTTCTTCCACAAGATAAGGGACAACAGAACTAGAACAGAGTGCACTGTCTCACCTTTCCATCTCCTCCTGACCATGTACAGTTTGCAAATAACTCCAGAGATGTAAATTCGATTGTGTGCCAGGAACGTCTCCTGGTGGATATTTTTCCTATTTGTCTCAAAAATTATAGAAGCAATATAGAACTTGTGCAATATAGAAGTTTATTAAGATGAAAGTTCCTTCCCTTACTTCTCCTCAACTATGTCAAATCTCACATCCTAGGGGAAATCACTGTTAATGGTTGGCTATGTATTTTTAAATTTTTCTTGTGCAGACATATAAATGAGTATATATGTAAATGAGTACGTATATTCAGATGAGTATGTATAAATTCTTCTTCCATGTGAGTATGTACAGATTTATCATATCATTTAATTCTTTTTAACTATTGCATAATATTCCATAGTATGGCTGGTCCATTATTTAACCATCTCCTTACTGATGGGCATTTCAGTTGACTCTAAAAATAATGTTACAATGGTCTTCCTTATGCATATATCTCCATGCTTTTCCTATAAAATGCTCAAGGCGGTACACTCATTAAGGACAGAAGTCTCATCTATTTTGCTCACCCAAACTTAACATATAACAGCTGGTCCATAAATTTTTAAAAAATTTTTTGACATTTATTTTTGAGAGACAGAGAGAGACAGAGCACAAGTCGGGGAGGGGCAGAGAAAGAACGAGACACAGAATCTGAAGCAGGCTCCAAGTTCTGGCTGTCCACACAGAGCCCGACATGGGGCTCGAACTCACAGACCATGAGATCATGACTTGAGCCGAAGACTGACGCTTAACCGGCTGAGCCACTCAGGCACCCCATTGTTCCACAAATATTTACTGAATTGCTTTGGGGACATTTTATTTTTTTTTTATTTTTTAAAAATATTTTTATTTATTTCTAGGAGAGAGAGAGACAGCGTGAGCAGGGGAGGGTCAGAGAGAGAGGGAGTCACAGACTGAAACAGGCTCCAGGCTCTGAGCTGGCAGTCAGCACAGAGCCCGACGCGGGGCCCGAACCCACGAACCGCGAGATCATGACCTGAGCGAAAGTCGGACGCTTAACCGACTAAGCCACCCAGGCGCCCCTGCTTTGGGGACATTTTAAAAATACTTTTTGATGTATTTTTTCTCAGTAATGTCCACTCTCTACCCCACAATCCCTCTATTTTGAGGTACCCTCAAGAACAAGTTCATATGGCAGGTGGAGGAGAGGATATTCCTCTTTCACAGAAAGGGGGAAGAGACGGTTTTCTAGTGAGGAGGTGTAGAAAATCTGGAGGGACCAAGATGGGAATAAAAGCAGATGGGGCATGGGACTTGCACGTGGCCTCCGGGTCTGACCTTTAGGAGGAGACAACCCCACAGGGTGTGGCTGTAGCACAGAACAGAAATAATGCTGATGTGTATTTAGGCAGAGAGAGTTAAAGACAATTCCCTTTCCCGCCTCTTCTTTGCAGGCTCCCTTGGCTCTAGGCTGGAGCCAAAGAGCCTAGAATGTTGACATGCTTTCTACGGGAGTATGGAAGGAAGCTGAGAGTGAAGATCCAGGGGCCTCCTGGGAGTCACCATCGTTAAGCACTGAGACGACACTTAGAAAGTGATGGGTTAGAAGGCTGAGCTAGGGCCTGGGCTGTGGGGTTCAGAGGATCCACAGGACCAGTGGAAGCCAACGCAGAGTGAGTCCTTGCAGTGGGGCAGGTATGGGAAGGGACCATGGGTCCCAAGGGCAGCAGGAGAATTGACCAGAAGTTACTACGGCAGGGTTTCCTTCAGCAGCAAATGCAAGGAGGTCATACACCTGGGAAGACAGGAGAAGGCAGCAGAGATGGAGGGCAAATGGACCAGAATTACCCATAACACCTCAAGGATGCGAGACCCTTCTATCACCTGGATGCTACAGAAGAAAGAAGAGAAGAGATGAGACCCTATGGAGGACAAACAGCCCAGAGAGGGAGTTTGAACTTCAGGCTGATTGGACACTAGCCCAAAGGAGACCCTTAAGCCAATGCAGATTGGGTGACCTTTAATTACTAGTTTTCACCAGCCACCATCAGCCTGAATGCAGGTTCATGAGAAAGGTTAGCTCCTTGACAGCTTATCTGATTTTCCATTGTAAGATGAAGCCACTGTGTGGAGCACACAGAAATGGACCTTATCATATACAGAGCCTTGATGTTAAGACTTATTATTGAAAGAAGCACCTATAGTATTGTAAAACCCCCTATTTTGCATCCTTTCTCTCACTTCACTGGTGTAGAATTTATAGTAAGTTCTAATAAGAAGGAAGGCCAACTGAAACAAGAATGCCACATTTAAACGGATGGGTTTTGTTATAGACTTTGGACTAATGTCTGCTCTCTGGCGCTTCATTTTCCAAGAGAGCTAAAAATCCTCTAACAGCAAGGACAGTAGTGCTTTAGCATTTTCAAGAGGCTGTTCTGGTCGCAAATACTCACATTCAGATTATGGCTTTGCAGTGATTAAAGCTATAGTTATTCTTTAAAGTCATTTAAACAGACTATTCTCATGGGGGCTATGTGCGCCAGGTGTGGGGGATCAGAAGAAAAGATGGGAATAAAAAGTCTCATGGTGACTCTTCTAGAACTTAAAAAAGTAGATTTCAACCCCAAAATGAAATGCCTGTGTATAATTTACTTGTATTCTCTCAGTACCAGCTATGTTTTTTAAGATCAGTAGCTTGATATATGGCCGTGTTGTGTTTAGACTTTATCAACAAATAATATCTAATTCAGCAGACTATGAAAAACGTTTTAGGCTGCAAACTGCTGCAATCCATATATACTATCATTAATCTATAGGGGGGTGGGGGTGTGTATGCACATGCGTGCACATATACGCACACTTTTTTAGGCATAGGAAACAAATCCTTGATTTGGGAAACACTGTTTTTCTTTATAAACTAACTACTTTTATTTTTAAATAAATTAAGAATCTTTCCTGTTTCCATCTAAAACCTTTTTGGCTCATTCCCATAATACAAGGAAGTGGAAAATTACTTATGATTTACATGAAACAGTGCTGACACCCAATGGCTGAATAAATTAGTAATGTAGAATATAAAATTTAACTTAGCATTCAGAAACCAATATACATTTTCAGTGAAAGGCAAATTATCACTGTTAAACCAAATCACTCAAACTCAACAGACTGGGGGGAGTGGAATCCTACCCAAGTGTTCAGTTTCTACACACTCTGATTGGAAATGACACAAAGGAAGCCCCTTGAGAACACTCTGTGGTAGATTTTATTCCTTACAGTTCATTACACATACCAAAATAGAGAATGTGAGCATCGAAGAAATTTATAAATTACACTTCCTGATCACCATTCTCTGGATATGCTCCTTTTTGTCAATGGATTTCCCAGAAAAGCTTGCTATAATCCAGATGTGGAATTGCTGACATAAAGGTGCAATCTTACAACCCTTAATCTGGCTACAATTCCTTTACAAATACAATTTAAAATT